GTGTACTCTGGGAATATTACAGAGCTCGAAGAAGCTTCAAGGTATAGTAGAGAGCGATTTCATACTCCAATTTAACGATTTTGCTACAATTTGAGCTGATTCTTTTTGTATGTGACTTATGAGTCGCAGATTAGGTTGTCTAGATACTGAAGAATCATGATTTTTGGTTTCGTTTAGGGTTTTAATCTTTTATGAATTGTGTGATTGGTGTTTGAGGAATCTAAGAACACGAATGATTTGTTTTGTGTTGTTTCGATGTTTGAATCCATAACCTAATTTTGCAGGGAGTTATGGGTGCTGAAGACGATTCGATTGAACAAAAAGCTGCTGCTCGTAAAGAGGCACTTAAAGCTCTAAGGGCAGCTCAGGAATTGTCTGAGAGCAAGGAAGATGGAGAAGATGATGCAGTCGAACAAGAGGAGTGAGTATTGCTTTGTTCTTTGCTTCTTCTTTTTTTGTATCTAGAGTTCTATCTGACACAGTCTTTATATGAGGAAAAGCTTTCTTTATCAATGGCAATCACATGAAACTGTTCTTGTTGTGTGTTGGTTAACGCAGAACTAGGAGTTTCCTTTGTGCTTTTGATTTTGGATCTCTCTTTTACTATCACTATTTGTGAGGGAATCAATAATGGTGTTCATTCAGCATTCATTGCCAAAACAGTTTTTTCCGTTACGAATTTCATTCTTTGTGTGTAATCTGCTTAGGGGATTTGTTTCATGTCTCGATTGTTTGTGTTAAAATATATTGTTTTTGTCATGTGCTTGCTGCTTATGGATTCTCTTCAATTTGACAGTGGTCCAGCTATGAAGTTTAGAAATTATGTTCCCCAAGCTAAGGAGCTTCAGGATGGTAAAGTTGCCCCGCCAGAGCTACCGAAATTTGAAGATCCAATCGCTGCGCTTCCACCTGCAGTGGAGAAGAAAGAGGTGTGTGCCTGCTTTTCATTTATCTGCAAATAGACCATCATATCCTGTGTGTTTGAAATTGTTATTTGTTTTACTTGTGCTTCTTAGCTTACACCTGAGTTCATCATTATAGGACCCATTTGTCAACATTGCTCCAAAGAAGCCAAACTGGGACCTCCGAAGAGATGTGCAGAAGAAGCTTGATAAGCTCGAAAGGCGGACTCAAAAGGCAATGTTTAAACTCATGGGTAAGTGGAAAGTTCATCTACATGCGTAATAAGTATATGGTTCATGAGTAAAGCTTTGGACATTGAATTCATTGGTATTGTGATCCTGTTAAAGGCAGCGGATTCCAAATTATAAGTGTAAAATAGAGTGATCTGTTAGTGTTTGTTATTATGGAAGTGACTAATGCATTTTCATTGTCTCATTGCAGTGGAGCACGAGAAGGAACGTGAGATGGCGGAAGCTGATGGAAACGCCATAGAAAGTTGAAAAACCTGATGACTTTGAAGAAGCCACAAAACATTATATTCTACTCGATTTTGTAAAACTGGCTGTTAAAGCTTCTTCAAAGAGACTAGACCATAAGGCTGGATTTCTCGTCTTGTGTGGATCCTAATGCCATTGGCATAGTTAAAGTAGGTTTATGTTCTTGTGATAACGAACAAAGAGGAACTGTCAAACATCAGTATTAATCTTAATCTGGTCTGGTCATAAACTGCATTTTTCGTTTTGGTTGGACTTGCTCCGGTCCAGTTTTGGACCAAAATTTCCCAAACTAAAACCAAATTTCGATTTTGTTTCGGGCTAGACCGGTTTAGTTTTATGGCCAAGTGAATTTGCCTGAAGCTTATGAAAAATTCTTCGAGAAAGTTTCAAGACTCAGAGTACTAAGCACTATCTTCTCGGCTTGTTGCTTTCCCAGTGGATGTTGGATTTTAGATACAACATTAGTTTCGTTATTATTTCAGGAAACAATCAAAAACATAGATACCAAGTGTTTTTTTTTCTTTTTTTCCAAAACTCAAACCTAATGTACAAACTCAGTAAAGTTTTCGACACCATCTCACCTAAAATCTCGACCTTTATAGGTTGCTCTACACATTCATGGCAACTTCTCATGAATCCGAGCTCCAAAGAACCGAATTATTCTCCAGCATGACGCTGAGTAAAATAAACCAAGATCTATGCTTTTGGAATGAACAAGCAATGAAAAGCTATAGACTTCCATGTGATGATTCCAAATACGGGACTCGAAACTCGTCCAGTGGCAATCTGTAGGGCAATAAAGGATATGGTGATATTCATTTTCAACTGCTTTGATCAACATAAAGTATGTATCTATCATTGTTTCAAATGTATAATAAGAGCAATCTACAAAGACTTTGGTACCAGGAGTTGGGAAAAGCTCACATGAAAAACCTACGAAAGGCTTTTTAAGCTCAATTATCTCTATTTTCTTTCTGATGAAAAAACCTAAAATGAAACCACTTTCCCAAGTAAAAAAACCATCAAATGATGGAGCTTGAGAGTGGTGCTCTGGACCACAAATTTTATCTTGACAAACACACCAACATAATGCATTTTCATGAGGTTTTCACTTTTTTCAAATAATTTACCTCAGAAGTTATCTAGCTATAGCCACCCTGTAGTTGAGGATTAGATCCTCAGGTTTCTTCCAGATATATGCCCGTACAGTTGCTAAACTCATGTCTGGAGATAAGACCTGAAAAACAAAAAATCACAGAACGGAAGCTCGTTTAGCCTCATACTGCAAACAAAAAAATGAGACCAGTCGACCAATTTTTGTTTGTGTAATGTGTAAGAATATGAAACTCTTAAGCAATCAGAGGTTGAACATTGTTGGATTCCTTGAAGCTGACTTGCCTGGTTATTGCATAAGATCTCAATGGAAGGTCTGAGTTTCTGCCACGGCTTTGATCCAGGCTGTAGTAACCCATTTCCTGCAAACAGTGGTTGTGGTCCTCCTGAAACACTTGCTCCATCAATAGCTAAACTATCCAATGGATTGTCAAGGACCATCTTTTCGACAACGTAATTGGTAACCTACATAGATATGTGAAAGAAACAAAAAACCACTGAATAACAGAAATTGCAAGCAAAAACTAAAGGTTTAATTTACGGAAAAGCGCACCTTGTGAACTCTTAAGATCCGGGGTGCACTAAGTTTCCCTAGTGTGACCACCTGCACATTTGAACCCTCACATGGATGCAGGAAGAAGCTTAATCTGGAAATTTGGAGACCTTTCATAGTAAGATATTTTGACCAAGATAGGTATACTTTTATCTATTTATAAAAAATGTAAAAACATAGATGAGGAAAATGCTAAAACTCCAAACTATTTTTTTAATTAGAGAACAAGGTAGTGTCATATACTTTGCATTATCTCTAGGTGGAAGGCGATTGTTCAAGACAGCGTCCAAGCACCACAATGGGAAGTCCTTCTCATCTTCAGTTCCGGTAAACTCGGTAATCTTCTTCCTCCACGGACCTCCTTGAGAACCCTCTGTAATGATGGAAGGAGGGGAGACAGAAGGAAACTCAAACGGAGGATACACCGGATCATTTGCAGCACTACTGTCTTCACTTTTGGATGCAATCAGATTCTTTTTGGTATCTTTTACGGATAGACTATCTCCAGAGGGAAGAACTTGGGGTTTTGGTTTGTGCTTCTTCTTCGCCAACCAATGACCCAACAGGCCTTTCAGTGTTTCACGAGCTAGATTAATCTACAAAACACATAATCAAATGACAAAATTAGGTTTAGTTTGACTAGGTTAGAGCAAATAAAAGTCTTAAGATATTCAATTATGATAAACAGATTCAAATATAACTAGCATGCAAAAATCCATAATGATATGTAATAGTAAGCTAAAAATTCATTCCCAGTAAGCTTCAGGCGTTTAGTCTACCTTATCATCTTCAGGTCGCCCGGAAACTTTAAGGTCTGCTGAATACATCTCAGCAGAGAAGCATTGTGGAGTCTCCAAATGTACAGATAAGCATCCAAGTCGTGTATCCACAGTAAACCATGATGGAATGCTTACCTAGAAACGTAGAGATGAGCAATATATCATAAAGGTAAACAAATCTGCTAGTCTCACTGAAGATATGAAAATAAATCAAGAGACTTACCATCTCAAACAGTTCGTCTTTCTTCTCTTCAAATGAAATCTGCAGACATAAAAACAGATATAATTATTTGACTTAGTACTTCTCCAGGTGCATACTGGAGATGAATGTTAATGATATTTAAGAATTACAGCAGTCGATACATATAACAATATCAGAATATCAAAAAAAGTTTAAGTTCCATAGAGACCTTCCCATACTCCTCTACCACAACGCCCCTAGTTATATCCCATAGTTTCACTGAGCCAGCTGCGTCCTGCAAAAGAAAAACCAAACCGATATCATCGACCCCTCTATAAGTCTATCAATGGTGGTCTTACCCCAGCATTCAGGGAAGTCTATTTCACCTTGGTTAAAATTTGCCTTTTATTATTTAAAATCTCATGTTGCACAATCGGGTGAGTTCCTGGAACAGTTATGGATGGCTCCTTGTAGGCAGGGGGCTGCAGACAAGCCAATAGTCAGCCACATTGAATCAAAAAAATATTAAACAAAAGCATTTACAGGGAAAAAAAAATATATTTCTTACAGGATTTAGTCCTTCCAAGGACACCCTCGCCCTATTAAAAGACAAATTCCCAGCCAAGAAAGAGCCACCTCGTTGAAAGATCTTTTGAGGACTCTGTACTTCGGCAGGCCATCTCTCTACAGAGGAGTCTGTTGTTGCAACCCATATACTATCATCTTGCAACGCTAATTGCTGAACTGGATGTTCCTTAGTGCAAAGCAAAACACTCTCTCTTGTTGCCAAGTCTGTCAAGTATAACTGCCGGAAACATAACAATAAATGGAATTAAAAAAAGAAGTATACACTGGAGGGGAACCAGAGAAAGAGAAAAGATTACTGGCTACTCACACATTGGTCTCTTCCACCGCTATAAACATGACTAAATGATGGACTGCATGCAAGCGCCCAAACAGAATCTGTATGCACCGCATAGGTATGAAGACATCGCTGCTGACCTAGATCCCAGAGTCTATAAATGATTTTAGAACCAGTTAGAAGAACTGAAACGATCACTATATCTGCACCCACTGGGTTAGTAGTTATGAAGAAATTAAGAAAAGATACAGACCTTATCATAGAATCAGAGGACCCAGACAAGCAAAACCTGCAGTCTCAAGATGAGAAACACAAAGGAAAATCTATCAGTGAGAGAAACAAACAGGCACCAAAAGGACCCAAAATAAACCATTGCTGGCATG